GACCTGTCAGCTCCACCATGGCTCCTAGCTCCCTCCTCTCCGCCATGGCCCATCTGTCCACTGGCTCTGCCAGACTCCCTCGTCCCACCGGCTCCGCCTTGGTCTGGCATCAACCCTCCTGCGCCTCGGGACTCCACTCCTCCGGATGCGCCTCGTCCCTCTGGTTCCGTCAGGCTCCTTCATCCCTTCGGCTTCTCCTCAGTCCTCTGTCGCTCCGGCTCCACCGTGGCCATCTGGATCCCCGCCTCCGCGTCAGTCGCCGGCGCACGGCAACAGAGCCCGCCACGAGGGAGAATGCCGCAGACAGAGAGAGCGCGGAGTAGAGCTCCGCCCCCTGCACCGTGGCTGAGGGTGAGCTGAGTAAGGATTTGCGAGAATGCAAACTCCCTGGACTCTGTCTGCCGGCCCCCTCCCGGGTGTCCGTCCTCCTCCCAAGTTCCCACCCGTGCCCCTCTGTTGTTCTACGGCGCGAGGACGCGCCTTCTGGGAGGGGGGCAATATGTCACGCCCCTGGACTTTATCCGTGTGGTTTTCCCTCTCCATGTGCCTGCCCTGACCTAGTTTTCCCATGTGTTTTATTGCTCATTATTTCCAGGTGTGTCTCGTCAACCCCTCGTCAAGTCCTGTGTATTTATAGTGAGTCCTGTTCTAAGTTTCTTTGTCTGGTATTGAATGTTCGTCTTTCCCCGCTACGTGTGTGTTCCTGGTTCCTTGGATGTTAATTAAAGTCTGTTAGTTTGAAGTTTACTCCACGTCTCCTCGTTCCTCGCTCCGTGCTCCTCACAGTAGCGATATCGTGACACACATACTGTAGTTTACATATTATTTGGATATAACGATTAAATGTGTTTGTTTGTTTGTTTATTATTGTTAAATATTTAAATATTTATATACAGTACACTACCCTTCAAAAGTTTGGTGTTGGAAATATTTTTTCATGTTTTTGAAAAAAGTCTGAAATGCTTACCAATGCTGCATTTATTTGATAAAAATACAGTAAAATATTAATAATGTGAAATATAAAAATTTACTTTATCTATTTTAATATATTTTAAAATATAATTTATTCCTCTGATGGCAAAGCTGAATTTTCAGCAGCCATTAATACAGTATTTCAGGAAAAGTTCAAAAGAAAAGCATTTATTTTAAATAGAAATCTATTCTATATTATTGTTATACATATAAATAAATCTATATCTGTGAATTTTAATCAATGTAATGCATCCTTGCTGAATAAAAGTATAAATTTCTTTAAAAAAAAAAACAATTGTTACTGACCCCAAAATTTTTAACTGGACTTTTCTTTTTTTATTAAATATGCAATTTAACTTGCCAGTCCTAGTTATAATAATTTTGTGGACTGTCTTGTGGAATTTCTTCAGACACCCCTGTTCTAGAACCTCTAAAAGGTCAGCATTACAGGTAAGACAGATTCAGGTAACTCACAGGATACAAAGCCAAGACTGCTGGTACTGGATCCCCGTGGCTGTGGCCGTCACACACTGCAGCGTCTCTGACAATAGATGCACTGTGAGGAGAGAAGGCAAGGGGTCAGTCGTGAGCGGCCATGCAATACGGACAATGGATGACCATGCATGAAGACAGAAACTAAACAATCAATTCAAGTTAAATTAAATCTGGATGCCACTTCAAAAGTACTGCACATCATGAGTTTGCCACCAAGATTACGTCAACTGACTTTCACTGTACATGATGGCACACACCAAAAACAAACAAGAGGATGTGAATTGATGGAAGGGCCGGTAATTAAATCAAAGTCCACTCGTCTCCATGAAAAGGCTAATGCATATCAAGGTAGAACAGAAGCAGAAGCTCACCAGAGGACAATACACATCACTGCAGCCAGCGTGAGTGACAATGAAGACCTTTCCAAGAACACCACCAAATGTTTAATTCAAATTAATCAATCAGTGTGTGTGTGTGTGTTCCCTGCCCTCTGTCTTGTGTAGGTGTGAGCTGTCCAGCATATTAACAACAAGCATGTAAAAGCATGTACGTGTGTGTATGTATGTGTGCATACGTCCTCAGTCCGGCAGAGGTGACAGGTGTGAGTTGTTCAGCATGACCAGCAAAAACAATATGTGTATGTGAATTTGTGTGTGTGTGTGTGTGTGTGTGTGTGTGCTGTTTAGCAGGCAGGATGGATGTCTCTGGCACACAGTCACACTGTCTCATCAATAAGACATCACACACTCACACCGTGGACAGATGGGTATCACCATGACAACACACTCAGCACCATCGAGAAATAGACAGGAAGAGAGAAAGAATGAGAAGGAGAGGAAAAGAGAGGGAAACATATCAATGGAGCAATACAGGGCAATACGAAGACCATGGAAGTGTCACAACTTATATGTTATTATGTGAGTAGGTTGATAAGCTTCAACAATCAGGGTTATTATAGATAACTAAAACCATAAAAATGTAACTTGAAATAAACGCTGAATGAAATAAAATAAAATATTACTTTATTTCAGCTAGTTGCCGAAGCAACATTTCTCATTTTCATTTAGTGTAACTTGATGTACTAAAATAATTGATGATGTACTAAAACTAAAATTATTAACAGATGTGTGGCATTTTACTTGCTTAAAATGGCTGCTTCTGTCACTTTTTCTCTTGACAAGAAGTGCATTTATTCAGTCGCAGAATGACTGAGAACGGGAGATGTTTCAGACGCGCACTCCACTTCACTTCAGCGCCAGGCATGAGTCAAAACGAGCACGGAAACGGTCCTGTGCTCGCAGCGTGTGCTCTTCAATTGCACGCACAAAGGCGCTAGTGCGTGCTGTAGCCTGTATCCTTTCATATCAAAGCGCGAAATAAACTATGTGCATGCAATGTCGTGGTCAGTTAAGTCATGAAGTTACCAAAAAGGCGATTAAAGCTGCCTTAAAACTGTGCATGCATGTAATATATTTTATATGATAGTCAATGGTTAAATATTAGGGGGGGGGGGATAATTTTATAGAGAAATCAGTATTGGTATCATTGATACTGGCCTTCGGTCATAAAAAAAGATGCCATTAAACAAATATTAAAAAAATATACTGTCTTTGTTGTTTGTACATTAATTTGAAGATTGAATGTGAAATTATTGCAATATAAAAGTATATTTAAAAACTTTAATGTTAGGTGGGATTAATCGTGATTAATTTCAGAAAAAT